TACTTTGCCTCTACACTGTAAGGACCATGAGACCTTTCTGTTTGACTTGTAGCTGAAATTTTCCATAGGTGGTGTCTTCACCATTAGAATATGAGCTCCCAGAGAGAATGAGCCTTACTTTTCTGTCTGTTATCTACAGTACTTAGCACTGGGCTTTTCACATAGCAAGCACTTAAAAAATTCTTTATTCCTTTATTCATTCATCTTGGGGGAGGAGGAGGTGCTGGTTGAGAAAGACTGGTTGACTTGGAAGAAATAATAGCTTTATTCCTCAAGTTCTGGGGGGTCTAGCTCAGGTATTACTGACCACAGTCATGCAGTTTCAGGAGAAACAGTTTAAATTGCTTGTTTTTTGTGCAGCATCATGGTCCTAATTAGCCCCTTGGCATGATTGAGAAGGAGCATCATTCTGCTGCCAGGCCGAGGGTGAAGGAGGATGCCAGGTTTTGCGCTATGCTTGGCAGCAAGGATCTCCTAAAACCCCTCCCTTGCTGAAGACCTTCTCTCTACCAAATGCAACCTTTGCTTGTATTCTTCCTTAGTCCTGATCTAAACTGGGTTCTCCCCATCCTGGTTGAGTGAGTGGAATACAGAACAGAGAGCCTGCTGTTGTATTATAAAGTTTGTTACTGCACGTGCCCCAAATCTGGGGCATTTACCCACATGTATAACCAGGTATTCTGTGTGTACACAAATGTGTATATACACATCCCAGCACTTATATTTATGGATATAGACACACACAAAATCTGGAACATATGGTAGGGGCAGGGAAGGAAAGAATAAGCATTTATATGGCACCGTACAAAACACTTTACAAATGTTATCTCATTTTTATCATCACAATAACTCTGTAAGATAAGTGCTATTATTACTCCTATTTTACAGTTGAGGAAACTGAGGCAAAAAGAGTGCTCCGGGTCACACAGCTAGTAAGTATCTGAGGTTGGATTTGAATTTTCTGACTCCAGGAAGTGCTCTATCCACTGTACCATCTAGCTGCTTTCTGGAATACCTTAGTTGAAACATATTGAAACAATTCTAAGCCCATTCATTGTCCACCTTGCTCAAAGAGAAGATTCTGTAGGACCTGTCACACCTGGACAGTGATGGGTACAGGCTTGGGGCCAACCAGCTCCTGGGACCTTAAGTGGGAAGGGTGCAAAGCCCTACTCTGCATCACTTGGAATGTAATTCAAATGAGGCCTAGTCCTGTTCATTATTTCAGTTCATCAGAAAGCAAAGTAAATAAGGGAAAGGATCATATGCATGCTGGAAATCGAGTCTCAATTTCAGGTTATCACCACTCTGGGAACTAAGTGCCCAGTACTTGGTAGTAGATAATGGTGATTGTCTTTTAAGGACAAAGCTATTTATTCTCCTTCGAGCTACTAAATATTTCAGCTATCATCCTTTGCCCTGCCACCCTCAAACTTTAGTTCCTTTGAAATCTTTTGTTTTGCTGTTCATGAATGCTTTTGGTGCTTCAGAGATACCATGATTTCATTGGCTTGTGTACCCTTTCCACAGATGCAGGTGGTAAGTCTTCTTTGCATTAGGAGACAGTCTTCATGATTGCTGTGGCCGAAAGAATTATCAACGGGTTGGCCAACCCACTGGAAGTGCCCCTGCCAGGCTGGTCCTTGGATGATAGGAACATAGTCAATAGCCAGGTCCTAACCTTTTAGTTAGGGTAAGGCATTGTCTAAGGGAAGTAGGGTCACCTTCATGCTGTGCTAAAACATATACGACCTTAGTATGTGCATATGTACATATATACATTTAATGTATGTGTAGGTATATGCCGATGTGTACATATAGAAGTATCTATATAGATAGCTCTAATGAGATCTCTGTATGTATATACAGCTATAGGATACACAGTTTTCTATATATATAGTTCTAAAGATACCTATGTATTTTTGTGTGTTTATATGGTAATATGTGTAGGCATTTATATAGATATATCTATATACTTCTGGATATATATATATGTACACACACATATATATATATCTAGGTATCTATATCTTTGTGTGTGTATATATGTATATACAGGTATAGAAATACTTATGTGTACACATAACATCTGTAGGTGTGTATATACACATGTATAGGTATGTGTATGTATATGTATATATAAACACATACCTGTAGATGTGTATGTATACTTAAGTATCTCTATACTTCTATATACATACATAGGTATCTTTATAGGCATCTTATAAATAGCAATAAAGATACCTGTGTATCTATATCTATATACACATATATACCTATAGGTTAATAGATATTTATATCTATACATACTATACATGCATGAAAGAAAGAAGGGAAGGGAGGAAGGAAAAAAAGAAAGAATCAGTGATGCCAAGGAGAATAAATAGCTTTGTTCTTAAAAGACAAATACCATTATATACTACCAAATGAGTATTTTCCTTTTAATGATACTACCTTCCTTTTTAAAGTCAACTAGGATATTGTCTTGCTTCCTCCCCATAGGAGTTTCCTATTTAGTACCTAGAGTGGTGGTAACCTGATACTGAGCCTTGTTTTTCAACATGCATGTGACCCTTTCTATTACTTACTGCTTCTTGATGAACCAAAATTTTATATATGTGTGTGTGTGCATGTGTGTGTATATGTATGTATGTGTATATATACACTTATGTACATGTGTACCTCTACCAATGTGGGTCAACATCTTCTCTGCAACTTATGACCTTAGAGAGTCTGCCTAGAGCAGAGATGTTAAACATGTCTGCCAGCATTTCCAGTTCCCCCCAACCAGATTAATGTAATTGGGAAATATTCAACAAAATAAAAATACAGTATAACATAGATAATGTTAATTTGTGGTTTTCTGAGTCATTCTGTGACCAGCAGAGATCTATTTTTATTTGAGTTTAACACTACTGGATTGTAGAGGATGGAGTCAGGAAGAACTGGGTTCCAATCCTACCTCAGTCAGTCAGTAAACATTTATTTAGGGCCTACTATGTGTCAGGCACTATGCTCAGACTGGTGATACAAATATAAATAAAAAGATGGTTTCTGCTCTGAAAGAGCTTACAGTCTAATGAGGTAAGACCATAACTAAAGGAAGCTTAAAAGCTTCAGGTGGGGATATGGGGCAGAGGGGCAGGTAACCTCAGTCATCTACTGACAATGTGACCCCAGCAAGTCATTTAACTGCTCAATGTCTTCTGGCAATTCTCAGTCTCTAAGTGGAATGAGTGGAGGGGATTTCTATAATGGGAATTTCTAAAATTGATAAAGTCACAGACTGAGAGCACCCCTTCCCTATCCCAAATCCTTAAAATGGCCTTGGAAAAATAGGGAATTGGAAAGGAAATGTGTGGTCCCCATCTATTCTCTCACATTCTGAGCCCCTGTCTTGCCAAAGAAAGACCAGGCACCACTGATTCCTCTTGGTTTTCTTACTTCTAAGTTCTTACTGTTCTAGAAACCAATTCTCCCTCTTCTCCTCACCAACCCTGAAATCCAGTTTCTACTTTTTCCTACCCTTTTTTTTTCTTTTTTTTAAAGCATGTATGAAGCAATAATTCGTAGGGTATCTGAATTAAGGACTTCTCTGACAAAACCCGTTCCTCCTCACTCCTACTCCCTCTGATGAACCTTAGGTCTTCAGAATCTAATAGCATCTTGCTAAATCTCCTCCATTCTCTCCTCCCTTTCGCTTAAATGATTCCAGAAATGCTTGGTTTGTCAGTATAGAAGCAGTTGTAATTATAAGTCATTTACCCTGAATTGCTTACTAGTTATACCTAATTATGATGTTAGCACAATAATGATTATGCATAACCTTCAATATGTGTCAACCTGGTTCAAAGTTTTATCTTATTGCAACACTCAGTTCAATTCAGGTTTTCTCAGTCTTTTTAGTTGGGTCTTAAAACATGATGAGGAATTCCTGACTGCCCCCAACTCCTATCCCTGCTTCCCCTCCCTCCTCTGCAGTGGTCAGATATTAAATGTATGGCTTCAGGCAGAACTGTTTTCCATATAATATCTAGCAATCTGTCTTTGTTTGGAAGATGGCCATGGTTCATACCGGAGATGCTTAGGGTCAGGTAGTGCTGCCAGGAAGTTAGGCAGAGCAGATAGTGATTGAGGTGGGCAGATTAGTAGAGAGTGTTTCCAAATCTCTTTTATTTGCAAGCCAGATTGACAGAAAACGTCCTTTTGTATTTGCTTTTGGTGATTGCCAGCCTCTCTTAATAGAATACTCCTCAAATACATCCAGTGTGTATTTAGTTTATTTATATATTTATTTTTAGAGCTCAGGGACTTTTGGAATAATTCCTTCCATAGATTATTAACTACCTATCATGGAAACTTTGGGCTTTAGCCCTAAACTATCTGCATTTGACCTGGAGTGCATAGTGGCTATTTGGGAAATTCTGAGCTTTTCCAATAAATATACTTTTATCCTATTCTTTTTACCATTTCCCTAGGATCATAGATTTAGAGCTAAATGGTAATTCAGAGGCCATCTCAGCTAACACTCTAATTTTTATAGAGGAAGAAACTGAAGCTCAGTGCATTTAATCATTAACTTTCTTTTTGAACTAAGAAATTTTGTATTAATTCTACTTCTTCAGAAAAACCACTCCATTTCCTCTGTCATTTTCACTGTCTCCCTTTCAGTTGTGTCCCTTTCTATTTTACAAGGCGCATCTACTGTACTAAAGTTGTATTGGGAGGTATTATGAACCTGAATGAGGGCAAAAAGTGATTAGAACATTAGCATAACCCCAACTCGGATCACCTCCTAGAATATGGCATCCTCATTAAGCTATCATTGTAATGAACCCTTTAGATTATCAGATTGTCAAGAGAGTTATGGGTGGTATCCCCAGAACCTGGCAAATGGTAGGCACTTAATAAATATTTCTTGATAGACTGGTTTGGTTCATTTAGGATTCAAGTAGCAGGACAAGGATAGAGGAACACCCCCTATTAAACTTACCTGTCCTGTGCTCACTTCAGCAGCACATATACTAAAATTGAAATGATACACAAAGATTAGCATGGCCCCTGCACAAGGATGATATGCAAATTTGGAAAGTATTCCTTATTTAAAAATAAAATAAATAAATAAACTTACCCATCTAGTGTCCTATTCCTTCGGAGTTCTGCTTATCCATGGGAATAGGCTACAAATGGATTAATTTCACTTCTTCTAGGTAACTTCATTGTGTTTAATAGGAGTCCTGTGGAAGAGCAATGACTTAACCAGAAATATTGGGAAATGAAGGGAATTTCAGGTACCTGAGTAGGTTAGGAGAAGGGATATTTTTGGCCAGAGAGGTCCCTTTCTGAGCAAGTCTTTCCTCCACTCTGGGCCCATGTTTTTCCATTTGTAAAGTGTTGTGTTGGGTCAAGATAACTTCTAAGGTCCATTCTAGTTCATCCTTTTTGAGGTGCAGCATCATATAGTCAAGGGTAATCATACAGCATTTGTGTATATGTTTGCTAGTCTTCTGTTCATCTCTAATAACTTTCTTGATGCTTTGCATTTTGTTGCTTCCAAGTGAAGAGTCTTCACTGATACTGTGTTCTAGCTCTAAAAGACTATGCCAGCAGAATACAAATACTGGCAAACCCTGCCAAGCTCTGAGTATGGACCTGGTAAAGGAGTTAGAGCTGTGATCTGAGAACCAGTCCAGCTCAATTCAGAAAGGCTCATGCCCAGAAGATTGGCCACAAGGGGAGGAATTTTCCTACTCACACCAAACTACGGAGGCCACTTAATGTGCTTGGTGTAGATGCAAACTTAGTCATTTTGGAGGTAAAGGAAAAAATACAGAAAGAACTTCCCAGGAAGTGTCACAGCATGATATAGTGGAAAGAGGACTAGCTCTGGGATTAAATGACAGGAGGTTCAAATCCTACTTCTGATGTCTGGGGCTTATGTGGCATCAGGCCAGTCATCCTCTCTGGGTCTCATTTTTACCCCTTGTAAAAGAAGAGGGAAAGACTAGGTAATCTCAAAGGTCCTGACGGGTTATAAATCTATCTTTCTATCTATCTATCATCTATCTAAAATATATAAATATATTATATATAAATATATATGTAAAGTATTATTAGTTGCGTTACCTCGGCAAATTGTTTCATGTTCTTGGGCCTCATTTTCTCTTTCTATAAAACCAGAACAAATTATCTCTAAAGTCCCTTCCAGTCTTACCTGTGTATTATGGGGTTTGAATCTAGCATCTTTATTGGGTGGCTTTATTATCAGAAAGATCCGAACCAAACATTAAGTTGTTAAACAGAAGAAAAAAAATCTAATTTCTGTTGTCATGGTACCAATAACCTCTTGCAGCATTTATTATGAACATTTTAACTAACATAAAATTTTGTACATTCAGCCCATCACCATAGGACTTAATCATTCAGTAAAGCAAATTAGATTCTGAATAGTTAATTTCTGCTTTTCCATTTGCAAATGGGTTTAAAGTTCTGTTGATAGTTAGAATTTGAGAACTAATTAAAATGCTTTTCTTACCTGTTTAACAAATTGGTCTTCCTACTCTGTTCTTCCTTTATTGTACTTGGTTAAGTTACAAATAGTGGTGGAACATTAGAAGCTTAATGGAGGGATAGAGGAAACTAGCAAAGCAAACTAATTAGGATTTATATGGCTCAGCTTTTATGCAACATGCTAATAATGTTACAAAGCTTTATCCAAATGATGCTGCACATGCTTTAGATTGTTTTGAAATGCTGGAAGGGGGTGGGGCAGCTAATGTTTTTGTTTGTCAACTGAGGAAGGCTGTCTAGTTGTCTAGGGGTTAATGCACAACATGTTGCAATTTTTTTCCCCCAAATGTCTGGAAGGCTGTAAGGAATTGTACTTGCCAAATTTTTCACATTCACAGAAATACTCTGTGGCTTTGAATGTAAATTCAGGAACTCAATATGTTCGAGTACAAGGGAAAGATGGTGTTTACAGATTTTCAATGATACTAAGCTTGGGAACTAAGTTTGGATACTTGTCTTACAGGTAATTTCCAATGAGCATCTGTTTGAAACTATATTCTACTATAGGAACATCTGCATTTGGACTTGAGATTTTTCAAATGGAATCTTTCTTTAAAAAGAGCTTCTTCATTTTTTGGGGGGCGGGATTTAGGAAAAGGGAGAAACTTGGATATCAAAGATAGCCTTGGACTGTATTGCAAACCTAAGAAGTTTGGCTCAGGTTTTTATAGCTAAATTTAAATCCTTTGGACTACCTGGAACCAATGTAGTACAGTGGAAAGACCATTGTATTTGGTATTAGAGGATTTGGATTTGAATCCTAGCCATGAACTGGATATGTTACCTCCATAACCTTAGGCCAGTGACTTAAATTCCCTAGGCCTCTGTTTCATCCTCAGTACAATAAGGGAGTTGGCTGGACATATAAGAGCCCTTCTAGCCTTGATCTAAGATCTTATGACTTATAGGTCCCAAATATAAAGTCCTTTGTTAGTTCTGAGTAGAGCTAACATGAAATTACTGCAGGTAGTATGCAGTTATGCCTGGAAAAAAAGTGGCATGATAGCTACTTCACTCCCTATTCCTTTCCCTAAGATTTAACTCCTTTCCTGGGGATTGGGGAATGCAGGTCATGGCATTAAATTATGACTCAAGATAGGGCATCCCAAAGATGGATTTGGTCTATAACAGCTTGTGGTTCTGTCCATCTCCATAGCAGAGAACCAGGAGAAGGGGACTAGGCTAGTTCTGGTTCTGTATCAGGTAAACTCTTTGGTCTAGGGCATTCTTAGCCTGCCTTCCCCACTTTCCAGGTAAAAAACTAGGGCAGACTGAAGACTGCCCCAACTTCTTGAGTGAAATGGAATAGCAAAGTACTTAAAGCCTTAACAGTGACATCTAACACTAATGCACTGTTGGTGGAGTTGTGAACTGATCCAACCATTTTGGAGAGCAATTTGGAACTATGCCCAAAGGGCTATACAACTGTGCATATCCTTTGATCCAGCAATACACTGCTAGGTCTATATCCCAAACACACTAAAAAAAGAAAAGGACCTATTTGTACAAAAAGATTTATAGCAGTTCTTTTAGTGGTGGCTAAGAACTAGAAATGAAAGGGATGATGAGGCAGCTAGGTGGTGCAGTGGATAGAGCACCGGCCCTGGAGTCAGGAGGACCTGAGTTCAAATCCGGCCTCAGACACTTGACACTCAGTAGCTGTGTGACTCTGGGCAAGTCACTTAACCCTATTGCCTAGCAAAATACAAAAAAAAGAAAAAAAAAGAAATCGCAGGGATGCCCATCAACTGGGGAATTGCTAAACCAGCTGTGGTATATGATTGTAATGGAATATTATTGTGCTATAAGAAATGACAAGCAGGATGATTTCAGAAAAATCTGGAAAGACTTAAATAAACTGACGCAAAGTGAAGTGAATAGAACTAGGAGAATGTTATATACAGTAACAGCAGTACTGAGTAATGGAGAACTATGAAGGAGTTAGCATTCTTAGCTCAGCAATACAATGATCTAAGCCAATCCCAAAGGACTAATGATGAAGCATTCCATCTGCCTCCAGAGGAAGAACTGATATTATTTGGATGGAAGTATGCTATTTTTCACTTTATTGCTTTCATTTTTTCTTTTATTTGATCCTTCTTGTACAAAATGACTAATATGGAAATATTTTACATGATTGCATATATATAACCTATATCTGATTGCTTACCACCTCAGGGTGGGAGGAGGGGGGGAAGAGAGAGAGAGTTTAAACAAAGTTTAAAAAATTATTTTAACACGTAATTGGGGAGAAAATAAAATATATATAAATAAATGAGGACAATTGCCCTTTAATTAAAAAAATGACATCCAATTCAAGTTATAATTTATTTCTCAGCACTGCTAGGTTCTAAATCAATCAATGACCACTCATTAAGTTCCTACTATACAGTATATGCCAGGGACCATTTTGGCATTGTTTTTAGTCATCACCCATAAAACAAAGGTGCTGCAGTTACAAATACAAGAATGAAAGAGTCCCTCCCATCAAGGAATTTAGATTATATAGTAAGAGACAGCTGAATGGATAAGTACATACCAGGTAATTTTGAGGGGAAGACATGAGCAGCTTAGAGAGATTAAGAAAGCCCTCAGGTAGTGAGGTCTTTGAATTTGGATTGAGCTTTGAAGGCAACTGGGAGTTCTGAGGGGCAGAAATGACAAAGGGATGCATGTTAGTCATGGGAAACTTCTGTACAAAGGCATGGACATAGGATGTCACGCATGAGGAAGAGCAGGAAGGTTGGTTTAGCTAACTGCACAGTGTGTGAAAGAGAGTGATGTATCATAAGCCTGGAAAGATGGGTTGGAGCCAGGTTGCATTTGATATTATACTGCCCCTGGAGTTTATTGAGCAGATGAATAATATGGGGCCTGTGTGATACTTTGGCAGCCATAAATGATGGATTGGACAGGAAGAGAGCCTGGAGGCAGGGATACCACAGGGAAGACGAGGACTTGACCTAGCATTTAGTCATGTGAACAGATAGTGTGGATAGAAAGGGCTGGATGCCAGATAGGATCAACAAGATTTGGCATTTGATTGATATGTGTTAAGGAAGAAGGAGGAGTCTAAAATGACTCCAGCATTGTGAAGATGAGTGATTAGAAGAGAGATTTCCCCAATGGAAATAGAGAAATGAACTGTGTCAAAGTGGGGGGACAAGAGTAACTTTGACTTAAACTTTTTGGGCAAATAATCTGTGACCCTAAGACATTCCAACTAATGTATTTAATTTATTAGAAAGTGTTTGTTAATTTCACACTGAATCCTGTTACTCCTCCTAAAAAGGCATTCAAATGAAACTGACTTGGTTAGGCCAGAAATAAGGAATTTTTTGTTCTTGTTCAGTCATTTCAGTCATGTCCAACTCTTGTTTTGGGGTTTTCTTGGCAAGGATACTGGAGTGGTTTGCCATTTCCTTCTCTCACTCATTTTACAGATGAGGAAACTGAGGCAAACAGAATTAAATGATTTGCCCAGGGTCACACAACTATTGGTGTCTGAGGCCAGATTTGAACTCAGGAAGATGTCT